CTTGAGCCACAGGCGCTGAGCCTACAGAGGTATTTTTCAAACCTTTCTGACCACTGATACATTTTTTTTTTTTTTGAGAGTCTCATTATGTCACCCTCGTTAGAGTGCTATGACATCACAGCTCACAATAACCTCCAAATCCTGGGCTTAGGCGATTCTCTTGCCTCAGCCTCCCAAGGGTTAGGCGCCTGCCACAATGCCCGGCTATTTTTTGTTGCAGTTTGGCCGGGGCCCGGTTCCACCCGCCACCCTTGGTATATGGGGCTGGCGCCCTACCCACTGAGCCACAGGTGCCCCCCAGTGATACATTTTTAGATCATGACCTAGTATACTTGTGCAGAAACATTTGCACATATACATTTAGTAAAAAGTTGATGAAACCACTTGCCATTCCTAAATAAATGTCCACTAATGGTATCTACCTGACCATCACCTTTTCAAAAATACTTGTCATAATCCACTAAATTGATTTCATGAACCATTCAGAGATAATATCCTTTATAGTTTTACCAATGTGTTTTTTTGTTGTTTGTTTTTTGTTTTGTAGAGACAGAGTCTCACTTTATTGCCCTCAGTTGAGTGCTGTAGTGTCACAGCTCACAGCAACCTCCAGCTCTTGGGCTTAGGTGATTCTCTTGCCTCAGCCTCCGGAGTAGCTGGGACTACAGGTGCCCACCACAATGTCTGGCTATTTTTTTGTTGTTGCAGTTTGGCTGGGGCCGGGTTTGAACCCACCACCCTCGGTATATGGGGCTGGCGCCCTATTCACTGAGCCACAGGTGCCACCCCTACCAATGTGTTATTATTGGACTTCTTAGTACTCTAAACTGGAATCAATTCAATAGGCGGACTCATTAAAAAAATGTTTTTAGTGAAATTCTGGAAACCAAAAAAGCCATGAAGAACAATGTAATTGGCTTGGCGCCTGTGGCTCAAGAAGCAGCTAAGGCGCCAGCCACATACGCCTGAGCTGGCGGGTTCGAAACCAGCCCGCTTGCCAAACAGTGACGGCTGCAACCAAAAACCAGCCAAGCATTGTGGCAAGCACCTGCAGTCCCAGCTACTTAGGAGGTGGAGGCAGGAGAATCCCTTGAGCCCAGTAGTTGGAGGTTGCTATGAGCTGTGATGCCAGGGCACTCTACCCAGGGAGATAGCTTAAGGCTGTCTCAAAAGAAAAAAAAAAGAACAATGTAATCAAGGTTTCTATCACTCACCTTACAACATGCAACACAACTGGTCTGGGTAAAGCCATCTGATATTCTCCCAACCTATATGCCTTTTTTTTTTTTCCTTTTTTGAGACAGTCTCACTCTGTTACCCTACAATTGAATGCTGTGGTGTCACAGCTCACAGCAAACTTAAACTCCTAGACTCAAGTGATCCTCTTGCCTCAGTTTCCTGAGTAACTAGGTCTACAGGCAGCCACTACAATGCCCAGTTAATTTTTCTATTTTTAGTAGAGACAGGATCTCACTCCTGATTAGGATGGTCTCAAACTCCTGAGCTCAAGTGTGTGAGCCTCCCAGAGTGCTGGGATTACAGGTGTGAACCACTGCACCTGGCCTATATGCCTTTTTCTTGACCCTATCCTAAATTTGCTGTTTATCATGCTTATATTTTAATATTCATACTGTATGTAGACAACCCTAAAAATATATACTTGAGTTTTGACATGTTTTTAAATTTCATATAAATGATATAATCTCTTATAACTTTATAGGGCTTTCTCAGGTTTTTACTTAGTTTTGCTTTGTGAAATTTATCCATATTCCTGTGTGTAGCTCTCAGTGGTTTATTTCCTCTACCAGGAGTTCATCTCCTGTTGATGGACAGGTGGTTTCCAACCTTCTGCTCTTATGGTCTGTTCTGAACCTTCATGGATATGTATGCATATACATCTGTGAGTTTCTCCAGGGGCACAAAGCTGGGAATGGGGCTGCATATCTTTAACAACTTTTTTTCCCCCAGTGCCATTTTTTAATTAAATCATAGCTGTGTACATTAATACAATTATGGGGTACAGTGTGCTGGTTTTATATACAATTTTTTTTATTAAGTCACAGCTGTGTACATTAATGCAATCATGGGCTACAATGTGCTGGTTTTACATACAATTTGAAATCCTTTCATCAAACTGGTCAACATAGCCTTCACAGCATTTTCTTAGTTATTGTGTTAAGACATTTATATTCTACACCTATTAAATTTCACACGTACTCTTGTAAGATGCACCACTTCAACAACTTTTACAAAAATATCTAACAAAGGCTAGGTGTGGTGGCTCATACCTGTAATCCCAGCACTCCACTGGGTCTGTGCTTCTGACCCATATTATCCCACAGTAAGCCTGAGGCTGAGGTGGGTGGATTGCTTGAGCTTAGGAGTTCAAGACCATCCTGAGCAAGAGAAAGAGAATATTTCTATAGAATATTTTCTATATTTCTACTAAATATAGAAAAACTAGCCAGGCATGGTGGCAGGTACCTATAGTCCCAAACTCCTTGGGAGGCTGAGGCAAGAGGATTGCCTGAGCCCAAGAGATCGAGATTGCTGGCTCGGCGCCTGTGGCTCAAGCGGCTAAGGCGCCAGCCACATACACCTACGGTGGCGGGTTCGAATCCCCAGCCCAGGCCCGCCAAACAACAATGATGGCTGCAACCAAAAAATGGCCAGGCATTGTGGCGGGTGCCTGTAGTCCCAGCTACTTGGGAGGCCAAGGCAGGAGACTCGCTTGAGCCCAGGAGTTGGAGGTTGCTGTGAGCTGTGATACCATAGCACTCTACCCAGGGGGATAGCTTGAGGCTCTGTCTCAAATAAATAAATAAATAAATAAAATAAAAAAGAGATAGAGATTGCTGTGAGCTATGATGATATCATGGCAATTTACACAGGGCAACAGAGTGAGACTCTGTCTCAAAAAAAAAAAAAATCTAACAAAATTTTAAGTGCATGTGCTTTCTGACCCAGCAGTTCCACTTCCTGTATTCCACAAAAAAAACACTCACATGGGCACAGAGATTTATGTTCAAAGCAGCACTGTCTATAATAATAATAAAAAAAAACACCACTGAGAGGGCTACCTTCAAAGACATTCCACACGCTGGCCAAGTGCCAGGGACTCTGTTATAGGTGTTAAGGATACAGCTGTCACCAGCTAAGGGAAAAACTGGGGTAGCAAAACAGACAAGGCTCCTCCCCTCACAGAGCAGAAATAATACGCACTTTCCTCCAGGAAGAAGAGAAAACCTCATTTTCCAGAGCAGGGTTTCTCAATGTTGACAAAATTGACATTCTTTCTTTTTTTGGGGGGGGGGGGAGACAGAGCCTCAAGCTATCCCCCTGGGTAGAGTGCCATGGCATCACAGCTCACAGCAACCTCCAACTTCTGGGCTCAAGCAAGTCTCCTGACTCAGCTTCCCAAGTAGCTGGGAATACAGGCGCCCGCCACAACGCCTGGCTATTTTTTGGTTGCAGCCATCATTGTTGTTTGGCGGGCCCGGGCTGGGGATTCGAACCCGCCACCTTTAGTGTATGTGGCTGGCGCCTTAGCCGCTTGAGCCACAGGCACTGAGCCAAAACTGGCCTTCTTTCAATGACTCTTTGTTATGGCAGCTGTCCTGTGCTTGAAAGATGTTGAGCAGCATCCCTGCCTTTACCCACTAGATGCTAGTAGCATTCCCAAGTCATAACAATCAAAAATATCCCCAGACATTGCCAAATGCTCCCTGTAGGGCAAAATTACCCCCAGTTAAGAATCACTTATTTGGGATCACCAACAGGCCCTCTTTGGACTTAACCTTTAGTGGACAGGCAACAAAAATGTCTCATACAGCAGAAAAAAACCCTCATTGAAGGCTCGGTGCCTGAGCTCAGTGGCTAGGGCGCCAGCCACCTACAAAGGAGCTGGAGGGTTCAAATCCAGGCCGGGCCTGCCAAACAATGACAACTACAACCAAAAAATAACCGGGCATGCAGGCGCCTGTAGTCCCAGCTACTTGGGAAGCTGAGACAAAAGAATTGTTTAAACCCAGGAGTTTGAGGTTGCTGTGAGCTATGATGCCTTGGCACTCTACCAAGGGTGACATAGCAAGACTCTGTCTCAAAAAAAAAAAAAATAGCCAGGCATTGTAGCAGACGCCTGTAATCCCAGCTACTTGGGAGGCTGAGGCAAGAGAATTGCTTAAGCCCAAAAGTTTGAGGTTGCTGTGAGCTATGACACCACAGTACTCTACCAAGGGGACAGCTTGAGACTCTGTCTCAAAAAAAACCCTCAC